AAGTTCTTATTTTGAATGCTTCAACAATGATGTTTCATAAGTCTTAATGTGTTTTTCTTATCCATATCCTAGTTGGATCATTACTAGGTGAGAGACTGTATCCATCTTAACCCTACTGAGATGAGTTTTCCTATGGTCATGGATCAAAGGCCATGTCATCGCATTTGTAGACTTACAATCAAAATGTTATTTAACTACTATTTTATGAATGTATGTCAATAAGTGTGGTATCAAATTGTAGATTATAATTCACTTTTTAGTATGATACATTAGTTAATTTCTCAATTCAAAAGTAAATATTAAAAACAAATTTACTAAATACTGATTTTTGTGTGTCATGTGGTATGTTGAATGCAGCATTGGTTCAGATTACATGGTTGTGATGTCCAAATAAAGTCTATAGTTTCTTATGAATTAGAAACTAAAATTACTGATATTGACAAGCTAGAATATAAAATAAGAACCTCCTATCTTTTCTATTTGCTGAGATATTGCTACATTTACTGAATCAAACACAGTGGCCCCACCCACCTCCTCAATTTTTGGAAATACTTGCTTACGTACACCTACTTCTGTCTATGATGTGTGAATAACCAATCAAAAGTTTGGAATACCCCCATATGATTTTCTGAGCATCTGCAAAGTATTTACACAGGAAACCCTTCTTGTCCATGGTAGATTCCAAGTGGTAAGGTAAGACATTATTGAGCTCGAAAAATCATATTTTTTTAGACCGAAATACAGCTCAGTTACAAAATTATAGTGGAATTCTGTGGTATTGATAAAGTAATTTATGATTTTTTGTTATTTCAAAATGCATATATAAGACCTAAAAAAAATATTTTGTTTTACATTCTCACATGCAAAATTTGATAAGGCTTAGCAAATTACGGCAAGCAGCGAATGAGTACAAAGTTCATAGCTAGAAGAGAAGATTGTTTTTTATACTTCTTTATTTATTGTTATATGTGTTATGAAAAATAACTGAAACTTAAGAACTTATTTGTAAATAGTAATAATGTATATACTTTTATACTGTATTATAACTGAAATGTGACACAGCCAAGACAGGTCACTTTGTAAAGGCCAGTTTTATATTATTGGATACATTAACACGAGTGCACGTGCACCACTTCATTCAATTTCCGTAATGTTTCTGTAATGCTGAAGGTCAATAAAATAAAATAAATAAATTTTTATATATGTATAATGTTATAAGATTTAAGCTATTTAGGCTAAACATTTGTGGTTTTGGGTTATAATTTTTAGTAAATCAAAGTTACCTTGCATGTTGGATAATCAACATTTGAAAAGAAAAATGCATGAACAAATCATTAATTTAAAAACCTGATATTTTGTGTGCAAATGCCTTGTAATGTTTACTGATAATCTGCAAAATTACGTGAAGATATGCTTACTGTATTAAAAGCTATAGCATGAAAACTGTAACAAGCACAAAATGTTTACTGTAATGAGAGAGTTAAACAGGGAATATTCTTCACCCAATACAAGTGGTAGTGCAGAAAGGTACCATCAAAAAAGTTCTTGCATGGTGCTAAAGTGTCACAAGGCAGACTGAATGCAAAGAGAAGAAAAGGTTCTCCAACTCCATTAGAAAAAAAAATGGGAAGGAGGAATCTGTGTAGGAGAGAACAATGCAGAGGTGCATGTACCAAACACAAATAATCTACCATCTGTATAAGGTCATACAGTAAGTGATTGTGGAATGGATTACATTCATACGAAAAGCAGGAGCTGGCCAGATGTAAGGGCAGGGAACCACATATTGTGCTGTTATTTTTTTGGAAGAAACAATATTGCTTGGAAAGTAAAATATAATAACTGCCAAAGCAATCTAGCAGAAAACCTCTCTCAACAGAGGCCACTGAACAGGGACAGATTGGCTTAAAACTTTCTGTTATCCCATACAACTGAACAGAAAGGCTCAAAAAAAGACCTGCAAATGATGAAGAAGGAAAAGTGAATGGCCAGATAAAAAAAATAATGTTATTAGCAAAGTTGCTCTGTAACAGCAGATTACAGAAATGGGTGGACTACACTAAAAAAACCAAGTAAAAAAGCAAGTGAGATGAGGAAGAGTTGGACAACGTGGAGAAAGGGAGTGGTGACTGGATCAGCATTGACAAATCACCCATTTGCAGCAATAAATTGCAAGGGTGGATAGCTGACAAGAGCCAGCAAGAAAAATAGGATACTCTGTGAGACAAATCTGCCCACCTTGCAAGGACTGGAAAAAGCCATTTGAGGATTAAGTGTGGAACATCCAAGACAGAAGAAATATGAGTCCCAGAATTGCTAAGAGACAAAGGAGTAGAGACCACAATTTGGCTGGAAATAAGATGAACCTGGCAGAAAGGGCTGTGAATTATAAATAGGTTTCTGGGAAGAAGTTGAAGAGGGGTATAGATATATAAAGAAAGAAGGTGGATCAATCCAGACTTAAAGGAAATACCATCAGGGGCATAAAGCCTAAAAGCTTGATGTAGAGGAGGGTCATAAAAACAAGATGTCCAGACAGATATGATGAAAGATTTTCCCAGGCCCATTGAACTGCCCATAACTCCAGGACATTAATGCGGACAGACCACTCTGCATGAAACCAAACACTGAAAATGATGAAGGTATTGAGATTCACATCCATAAATAGGTGTAAATTCATATAGGGTGGAGGAAGATTAATGCTTAGAGTTGTGTAGAAATGTTCAAGCCACAACAACAGCAATAGGTGAAAAGATGGAGCTAGAAAAACTAGAGAAGACAGTGAGTCATAGGGTATATTTCACTGATCTGTCAGAACCTACTGAAGGAGGACACATCCAGAGGAAGAAGGGCCAAGAAAAATAGAAAAGAGTCCCTAAAAGAGACAGAACCTTATGCTTAGGAAAAAAAGGAGACATGAGTACTTTGGAACCCAGAAGCTCTATACCTTGGATATAAAAAAGGTTGAGCCCAACCAACAAACAAGGTGATAAAGACTCTCAAACAAATCAGATACAGAATGGGAGTATAATAATGATTTAGGAGCCTGACTAGTAAGCCCAAATAAGCAAACTCCCAAAGGAAAAGGGAAGTCTCAGCAGTTGATGCCTACTAGAAAAGGGTTAGGAGATTACAAATACCCCTATAATGATGTAAAAGTAGACCCAACAAGTGTATTTTCCATAAGAATCCTCAGTTCAGGTGAAAACATTGAAAGAGAAAGAAAACTCCAAAGAAAAAAAAAGTATGACCCACAGGTTTTCTATAAAGTAAGTTCACACAGGACGAAAGCTGAGGGGTGGTTCCAGAAACAACTTATCACCAAGCAACATGATAGCTGGCCTCTTGGGAAAGAGGAAATCAGGAAGAAACCAAAAGAAGTACTCTCCAAAAACTACAACATGAATGAAATATACCAAATGGAGTTCCCCACAATATAACAGAGGTAGTTTAATTCTAAAAAATGAAGCATCTTGAAAAAGAAAAACCCAGAAATCAATAAGTAGGTGAAGAAGGTTAGTAAACCTGTTAGGGTAGCAATGGCAGAGCTTCACAAAAATGTGTAAAAAAAAGAAAGTAACCCAACAAAGTAAGCAAAAGACAAAGATGAGGAGATTGAGGAGAAAAGAAAGTCAATGTACGAGAAGAAAAACGTTTTCAAGTGGAGAGAAAAAATCCAGGAGATAGAAGAAGTAGAAATGAAGAAGAATTCTAACCACAGTTAACAGAGATGGAATTTTAAGTTTGAGTAGGACTTGGCAACTAAAAATCAACACAAAACAAAGACAGAAAGAATCAAGAACAATACAACTATCAGGTGAGGATGGATGAAAGAAGGGGAAAAACTGTATGATCTAAAGTGCATGCAAAAAGTTCACCCTAGAATCAGCAGAAAAAACTGGAGTAAGAGAACAAATTACACATGCCTGAGTGAGTATTATTTAGTCCTCTTCAGGGATAAAAGAACCAGAAGCAGAGACAGATTCTGGAAAGACCTGGTCAAAATTGTCCAAAGATAAGGCAGGCTCAGCAAAAGGAACAGAGGTAGGAGGTCACGAGACCTGGGTTTGAGATAAAGAAAGCACGACAGAACCAACCACATGATGCACAATGGCAGAAACATTGCTCAACAATAGAATAACTCCAGTCACCATTAAGTGAAAATAAGACAATTCTGATGGAAAAGAGACTGGTTTTTTGTAGGTTTCAGAAATAGGGATATGAAAAGATAGATTCAATAACAGTCACTAGATTGAATATATAAAAGAGGAATGTTATTTTTCTTTAACAGCGGATCTATTATAATCATGTTAATTTGGCCTTGGTCATTTTCACATAGACAAAACTGAGATGAAATACTGGTTTCTATTTAAACTTGAATACTGGTTACTGATGATTGGAATTTTCCTGTCAAAGAAACCATATCACAGATTCTGGAAAAATCATCCCAAACCTCGTATACGATTAAGAGAAAAAATCAAAGTAAATAGGAAAGGATGATAATTTGTATCAGAAGCTCTATCTGAAATTAATGTAAATTTTCTTTCTTGAAATCAAGAAAATGAAGGTAAGATAGATAACATTTCAAATGTTAATGAAAAGTTGAAAACAATAAATGCAAAAATTTCATAATTTTTAATTAAAAAAAAAGAAAGAACATGAATGACCAGTGTACTGCTGAGGAAAACATGAGGTTTTGTTATACACAAAGCTTTCATTTTATCTTTCTGAGTAAATGCATGACCACAGATGAAACATGAAGAACGTGTCACACCCCTACTGGTGGAAGGCTATAATCTAATTCTGATTGCAGCATACATCAATGTAGTTCACATTATTACATTCAAGTGTGAAAGTTTCCTTCACAGGCTTGTTGCATGTGCAAAAACATCTCAAAAGTGGCACAAGATATTAGTTATATGTTGCATGGAAAGGTGAGCAGTATTTCTGAAATAAACTGTTTTTGTATACCTAGTAAAAATATCAAATTTGCTACTTACCATTCTCAATCTTTTGTTTAACCAGTAGTCATAAACTGCTATGATAAGATCATCATCTTCCTTCAAAAGAAGCTTAGCTTCTTTGAGTGTAACAACCTATATATAAAAAAAGAAAAAGTTTTAGCATTTGAGAAAAGTACTGTAAAAACAGAGCATGGAGAAACCTGCACATGATATAAAGCTAGATAGTTCTATGTATCTCTGGCAAACTGGAAAAAAAAAGGTATAAGGTAATGACTACTTTTGTACATTAAAAGCAGAAGGTTATCATTTTGCTTAAAAAATGGAAAATATTGGTATGAAAATATATTTGTGGTATGAGTATATCTTAAGTTTAATAATTTTGTGTTGTATCCAGTGCAAACTGACACGACTTTCAGGCTAAAAGCATTTTATGATTTATTTTATAAGTCTAAAACATGAAAAAAAAAAAAATCTCCCATTTTTTACAGACATCTTTGAGTTCAAAATGGCTACCATTTACAATCTATAATGTCAAATATCATAGGTTCCAACACATTTAGAAACATGATACTATTGTCAATATCACATTTTTCAGAATTAAGATTTTGAAAATGATAATTCCAATATGCCCTCCACCTTGGATTGCAATATGGTGGCAATCAAAATATATTTTAACTGATAGATTGACTTTCAATGTACCAAGAAACCAAGTTCTCTGTGGCTAATCACCCATTTCTTGCACCAAAAAGTTTGAAAGAGACACTTCAGATCAAGGGTGATAACAGTTCTTCTTTGTGCTCCAACTACAACAGCGCTAATATTCATGATTAGCATTAAAGCTAGAATAAAAAAAGAAAGCACACCAGTGGAGTATAGTACTACTTCTAGAACAGGTAAGCTCTTTGCCAAGCAATCAATACAGTAACACAATTGGGGAAAAACTGAATAGACAGGCACCACTGTAGTCAATAAAGAGACGTATAGCACAGTGTAAGAAGGAAAACAGGAATATTTCGAAAACATCAAGTAGAAGCAATGGAAATCAAACACAAGAAGTTCAAACCGATATAAATTTGTGATCAAAATTTTTATTGGCAATGCTTAGAGGGCAGATCAGTATCAAGATACCTTTGGGTGAAAGGAAGTAGTACCATTTCAGAATTATCAAGTTCTTTAAATTTTCACACTGGGCATTTGCAAAATGCATTTGGTGATGTCAAAGCTGTTTTAATCAGTTTGAATATCAAAATCATCATTTTCATCAACATATTCACTCAGTGTTGCATATAGCTTCCTTATAACTCCTGAGATATAACTTCTCAGATATATTGGTCACATTGTTTTTGTACTTCTGATCCAGATCATTCATATCCCCTTAATCTAAAAAACACATGATAATGATAACTATTTCAATACTAGCAATTTTAGACCCACTGTTTGCAGATTATCCAGATTAGAAGTACTGTTTGCTTTCCTTTCTTCTTTTACAAGACAATGTGTAGATACTCAGAATCATATGCTTAAAGATCTATAGTTTCCTGTAAAACAGGTGAAAATCACCCAAATTTTCTCATTTTTGGACTAAGTTAAAATGTTGATCACTTTTTGACCAGTTGAACTGAATTCAGATCAAATATATCATCGGATTTATAGAAAATGCACTTGTTTTTATCATACAGGTTTATTTTTTGATGCAATCTTTAATGCTTGCTAGTATATTCTAATCCTTCAAAAGAACTAATGCCAGCTGATGGCCTTCCACTATAAGAGGGTAGGTTCATTTTTCCCTGTAACAAAGATAATGGTAATGATGAACTTTGCAAACAGTTATCAATCGTTTGCTGAAATGAATACAACATGAGTCTCTAAGTGCTGTTCTTTCTTTGCTATGTACAATGAGTTTTCTTTTAACTGCTTCATCATTTTCAACTTTTATCTTTCTGAGTAAATTAATTACCACAGATGAAACATAGACTAGGATTACTTTCAATACCCACCTGCTGAATAGAATTGGGCAATTAAATTAATTAATCAATATAACTGATTACCTATGAACATGAATTACACTGATTATTGCCATGTAAAATAATCAATCAACTGAAATTATAATTAAATCAAGTAATGTCACATAAATAATCAAAACTAGTATTTTGTGATTATTCCAATTGTCCAAGTAATTGTAACATTGCCATTATGATTTTTCATTATTATTTTCTATTAATTCAAGATTCACTTGAATTGATTAGTGCAGGCAGTGATAAATATTTTCAGATCTACGAGCCAGCCCCAAAACTCAGGAGCCAGGTGTGCCTAACCTAATTTCACTACTGTATGTAGCTGGAAATGGGGGCTTGTATATTTATTTTCTTTCACACCAACGAGTGCATGCTAACAATAATATGATATAAACAATCACTTGATCATGTTGCCTGAACACTGCCTTTCATCCTGTCCGAGTCTAAACATGCACACTGATTGGTTGGATTGGGAGAAAAAGGAAAACAAAATGGCATGAAATTAGTAACATGTGCAACCACATCGCTTCATTCCTAAAAAAAACATTAAGTGCTGAATCTACCATTAAAATCCTAGAAACAAAGTTTGATTTACAACTTAAAGAAAGCAAAAATAGTTCCAGACTTCCAAGAGTCCATAACAAAATGACAAAACCGATGTTTATTATTTATTATATAATCATTTTAAGTGCTTATAATTATGCAGTGTAGGGATGTAATATATACTCACATGAACTTAAAGAGAAATATTAATGAAATGTTAACATTGTATATCCTTTCATCCCAAAGATAAAATATTTTCAAGACTCTTTCAATGTTATGTATTATGTGTTGTGAAATACAGTATTTTGATCAAGATATTTAATTCAAAGACTTCTGGCACATCAGGTGTTATTTTTGAATTCTTTGAACCCACAAATAGTAGAAGTTAACATTTTCCTAAACTGAAAACGTATTTCTGATAGATACTTAGCTCCGCTCACAAATCGCTTTTCTTGACTTATACTGCCTTGTATATGTGCAAAGATTTGTTCGCCACTAACCTTGATACTCCCACCTACCCTCATGTATATCCATGTGAGACATCTGCATGCCATTATGTAAATGACCATGCAGCAACTCTCCACCAATAGGAATGTGACACAACTCCTAGCTCCCTCTCTTCCATGCATCTCAAAATCACTTTGAGATTGGGTAGTAAATAAAATACTGACACAGGAAATGGGGAGGACAGTGAGAGGAGGTAACTATCTATTGGAAATACATTTTCAGTTTAGGAAAATGTTAACTTCCAATACATTATTCTACCTCCTATCCTAGCAGAGGGTCTGGTGAGATTATGATCCACCTTTAGAATGTGTCCAAAGGAAGGCCATGAAAAGTGCAAATAAATGGAAGGTGACACCCCCATGAGAGACTGCATCACTTCTGAACCAGTATACTCTTCACCCATGAGAAATTGTCACAATACAGATGGAAAGAATGGTGGGACTTCCCCAGCTTAAACATGTGTACACATCCAACACAACCATCACAATATCTCATGGGAACCAACATCTAGGGAACTGGAGGAAGATGGACAGCAAAGTAGGGGTGCATCTCCACTCCATCACCAAGTGGTATTGGGAATGTATCGTCCAGTCCACAGTAGGAGGAGGGTATCCAGCCACACACCTGTGAAATACAGGGACCTCTGGTGTAGAGTGGCTAAGGTACACTGAACCATAAATGGAAGATTGACCTTAACAAACACCAGGAAACCATGACATTAATATTCGGTCCATGGTAGGAAGAGGGTCCTCTACTATTCATCTCAGATATTGGAAATGGTAGGGATGATGAGCCTCTGTACCAAGGATCCGCATCATCATCATGTGTGCATATTCAACACAACTAGCACCATATCTGCTAGGAATCGACATCCAAGTGATGGTAGGAAGGTGGGCAGCCAAGAGGGGTGCATCTCCAGTCCATCACTAAAGAGTATTGGGAATGTAACATGCAGTCGAGCTTCAATCATCACCATATCTATAGGGAACCAACATCCAGGAGACAGTAGGAAGGAGGGTGCCTCAGCCAGAGGAGCAAACTGCATGTTGGTGGAATGCACTATCCAACACCTGATGTCATCTGGTATTGTACATCAGGTCCATAGTAGGATGAACATCAATTCCACCTACTCTAGCAGAACACAACTGCCCTTCTATCAACTGAATGGGATTGAACACATTCAGGAGAAAGTATCCATGGTCCACCACCCCTGGCCTGGCATGGCCAGGAGGTTAGGGCACTCGACTCATAATCTGCTGGTCGCAGATTCAAATCCCCATCCCACCAAACATACTCATCCTTTCAGATGTGGGGGTGTTATAATATGATGGTCAATCCCACTATTCATTGGTAAAAGAGTAGCCCAAGAGTTGGCAATGGGTGGTGATAACTAGCTGCCTTCCCTCTAGTCTTTCACTGCTAAATTAGGGACAGCTAGTGCAGATAGCTCTTGTATAGCTTTGTGCAAAATAATTCATAACAAACAAAACCAAACCAATCCACCACCCTATCTGAATGGTGGGTGTATATGACCCCCAGGTGGTGAAGATAATGAGTAGTATAGGTATGGATAGTGGTCCACATACCGGGGAAAATTATTTCTTCAAACGGATGCCACAAATGAGTAGCCAGGGGCATGGTAAGGTGACGAATTTGATGGGAAGATATACGGGAAAATAAAACAATCATCAGGACATAGGGAAAAATCAACTGGCAAATCAAACCTGTAAGGGAAATGGGAGAAAAATCATGGGACTGGGAAGGATTCCAAATAATAACTAATTGGGAGCAGGAACCAAGGGAGGAATCAGAGCATGTCATGTAACAGCAGAGAGCCCTGAATGAACAGAGGATGTGTTTAGGATTGGAATGGTCATAAATGTGTGATATGGAAGGAAAGGAGATAAGTTTGAAGGCAGAATTAACCTCCCAAGTAGCCAGAATTTTGGGCAGAAAAGAACAGTTGGGGAAAAGGAACACACAGGAACTGTAAAATGTCTTCATACCAACAGGAGAAGGGTCTTCAAGGCAAGGTGATATGTAGAACACATTAACATAGGTTCAAAT